TATCTATCTATCTATCTATCTATCTATCTATCTATCTATCTATCTATGTGGTTTACAGGGTCAGCCTCCTGCCCCCAACAATCTGGGTCCTCATCTTACCAACCTCAGAAGGATGGAAGGCTGAGTCAACCTGCAACCTGGTGAGATTCTTTTTTTTTGAAGTTTTTTTTTATTTTGTAACAAAGACAAACAAAATAAAACCATCTTTCCATTCAACGGTGTGTCGGTTGGATACATATCTCTTGTGCTCATAATCCTATTATCATACATTTCTTACTTGTTTATATTTATAATCATTCTAATCAATATTTAAATCACACTTATCAATTGTTATAGTATCATTAACATTATTATCTTTCAAGAATATATATATATATATATATATATATATATATAAATTGTTATAGTATCATTAACATTATCTTTCAATAATATATTTCACCTTTAGATTATATTCATTTTCTTACTCAATCTAATTCAATCAATTATATTATATTATTACATATTTCAATTTCTTACTCTTCTATCTAGGCATTGATACAATAAATTCCAATTTTTTTAATAGTCCTTTTCTTCCTGTTCTCTAATTGCCACTGTCAATCGACTCGAGCCTGGTGAGATTTGAACTGCCAAACTGCAGTCAGCAGAAGTCACCTGAAGTACTGCATTCTAACCACTGCGCCACCGCAGCTCAATGTTTACTTGAGAGTTGGTGTGATGCTAACCTTGGAGTTCCTAATACGTTTTAAGTGCATCTGGCTTCCCCACTGACTTTTTGCTTGCCAGAAGGTTGTGAAAGGGGATCCCGTGACCCCAGGAGATGGCAACCGTCATAAACACCCGACAGTTACCAAAAGTCTGAATTCTGGTCACGTGACCGTGGGGGATGCTACAATGGTCATGTGGGAAATGGTCATAGGTTTCTTCGGTGCCGTTGTAACTTTGGTCGCTAAATTAAATGGTTATAACCCAAGGACTACCTGTAATAAGAGACGGTCACCTCCCATTTCCCATTATTCCCCCCTCCCCCAATTAATCTCCCCCTTCTCAACTCCGCTTGTGGATCTGCATTCATCCCGTCATAATAAGATGCAAGGAAAATCCAACTATCGCTGGACTAGACTAGGTCCAATTAAAATGAGGTCGGATGCTTTCTGGTCCAGGTGGGTTGTGGGAACCTGCTCTACGAACCAGGCCCCCGAAATGATCATCATACGATTCATCTGCTTCGGTGTCCCGTCTTTGGGCCACAAAGATTTCGGCTAATCTTGTTTTGTGGTTTAGCTCAGCACTGAGCACCAAGCCTGGCTTGAAAACAGCCGAATCACAACTGCTGAACCCGAACCAACGTGGCATCAAAAATATTGACGCCACGCAAGAGGGAATTTCATCCTTTTTCCTTTTCTTCGTGACCAGCAAAGCTAAACGAGGAACATCATTTTGAAGGAGAGATTTATCTGCGATTTCAAAACAGGTTCTTTTTGAGTCCCTGCCTTGGTTCCCTCTTCCGTTTTCTCTCTAGAAGACAATTCCCCCCCCCCCCCCCCGCTTTCCCCTTGCAACTCCAATGCCCATCAGCCACCGCATACCTGTGGAAATCAGGCTGTGGTTGGAACTCCCAGTGCTCTGACTGGCGCTGCCCCCCTTGGGCAGGATGGCTGTGGGAGAGGAGACCGTGGTAGTGCCCGTGGCAGCCACTGAATAGACCACACTGTGACTGGCGGACTGGACAGGACTGGTCCCTGTGGGGGTGGGGTAGACGGCAGTGATGACCTGTCCTTGCCCAGCACTGGAAACTGGGAGTTGAGGGCTCTGAAGTGGGGACACCCCCACTTGTCCTGAAGCCAGCACCGGATTCTGACCTGAAGGAAACAGACCCAATGCAGGTTTCACATCAATATTCTTTGAGGTTGGTTTTCTCCATGATGTTGTGTCCTCAGGCCTTTAAGCTTGGCATTCTGCTTGCTTGCCCCCCACCCTGCCCCACAGCTACCTCCATGGCCTTACCCGAGAGAAGTGGGCCAATAGCTGTGAAACCCAGTGCCATGGGGGCAGGCCCCACTGGGGACTGGACGTAGGTGGTGGTAGGAGCAGCCGGGGGGATGCTGGGTTGAGAATGAGAAGTTGAGGTGCCCAGGGAGAGAGCATGTCCTGCTGCTGACTGCACATAGGTGATCCTGGAGACAAAGACGGAGGGAGGGAGACAGGAAAGAAAGAAAAGAAAAGAAAAGAAAAGAAAAGAAAAGAAAAGAAAAGAAAAGAAAAGAAAAGAAAAGAAAAGAAAAGAAAAGAAAAGAAAAGAAAAGAAAAGAAAAGAAAAGAAAGAAAGAAAGAAAGAAAGAAAGAAAGAAAGAAAGAAAGAAAGAAAAGACAGAGGGTTATTTTATGGCAGTGGCTACAGGCACATATGTTCCCCATGCCTTTAAGAACCAACCATTTCAAAGTCCTACCTGGTGGAGGAGGAGGGCAACAGGACTTTCTGGGCCTGGCTCGGGGAACCAATGACAGCCGTGGCCATGGTGCCCTGGAGCGCAGCAGGGCTAAGTGGGGGCACCAAGGTGGCGCTGCTCTGGGAAGGGGGCTGAGGCTGGACAACTGGCACTGGAGTGAGCTGGATAATCTGAAAGGGCAGAAAGACTCGATCAGCACAGGCAGCCAAGAGGAACACCAGGAGGCCTTAGGCTGGAGGCGAGACATTTTGTCCCCGGGAGCAAAATAAATAAATAAAAAAGGAGCAAAACCAGACCCAGATGCAATGTCATTTACCAAATCTGTACCATTGCGGTAAAGAAATTTAGCAAGCCATAGTATTCAAATACACTTGGAGACAGATGACTCAGTCTGCATGAGACACAACGTAGGGTTTCAGTCTTTACTACAACAGGGAAGAAGAGAGAGGAAGTACAAGTGGGCAGGAAATGGTGATCACCAGCAAAGGGGGACTGCGGTTCTCTTTAACAATAGCTATAGCAATTAGATTTCTATACCGCTTCACAGTGCTTTACAGCCCGCTAAGCGGTTTTACAGAGCCAGCCTCTTGTCCTCCAAAATCTGGGTCCTCATTTGACCCACCTCGGAAGGTTGGAAGGCTGCATCAACTGCCAGCTGTTCGGCAGTGTCGATTTTGATCGGCTCGATTTTCGAGCCGGTCAGAATTGAACTGCCAAACTGCTGGCAGCTGGCAGTCAGCAGAATTGGCCTGCAATACTGCCTTCTAACCACTGCGCCGCCAAGGCTCACTATGCTCCTTTAGGCATATGAAGTACTTTACTGTTTCAGAATTGCATTTTGGAGAAGCAAAACCTCCAAAACTTGACAGGCCCAAAAGGATGGTTTTGTTATTAAGTCTCTTTTTCCTCTGGTTTTCACAGTCCAGAGGCTGAGAGGTTGTTGTTTAAAAAAGAAAGAAACCAAGCAAAACGAGGCACTCAAGACTTCTAACAGCAGTCCTGAAGAATGCAGTTTTCCCCATATGGGAAATCTCCAAATGTTTGCAGATCTGCAGGCAGATACATCTGGAGAACACCAGGCTGGGGAGCAGACTGAACGTTTCTTTTCTTTTCTCTTTTCTTTTCTGAGACCCCAGTTTTGCAGAATAGATGTGCAATATGTACACAGGTATTTAACATTTGTATGGATATCTAACTCACAAAACACACACCCACTCTCATTAAAAAAAAAAAACAGAATTCGAACAATCCCAGGTATATCTTAAGGGTATGAAATATTCGAGGTATTCTGGTGTTATTATAAACTTTATCCAGATAGGCTGCTAGCAGGCAGTATGAGATTCCTTCTGCCCCAAGCATGCTTTCCTTTAGAGTGCAATATATATGTTCTTTTCCCCTGGTCTTCACAACCTCTTTCCCAAACCCAATCTTTCAGAAACAGCCTTGCAATTTAAGAGAATTACTGGTAGTCCTTGCTTAACAACCCGTCAGCAACGGCCAAAGTTATGCTGGACCTCTCCAGAGTTATTTACAACCCATTCTCGAAGTTCTGATAGCCGCAACTCCTTGGGTCATGTGACTTGGCAACTGTCTTACATTTATGACAGTCTGCTGCATCCTACAGTCATAAAACTGCCATTTTCAACCTTTTCTTGGCCAGTTTCTAGTGTTTATTTCTGGTTTCCGCCAAAAAACATCTACTAAGGAAAATGCACTTGTTAAATAACTATGATGTTCGCTTAGTGACTGTCGCAAAAAAAAATTGTAAATGGGTGCAGCTGTGTGGTGGCCCACTTAATGACCATGACCTAGGACTCTAATTCCAGGCTCAATTATGGTTGTAAGTCGAGGACTACCTATATATTTCTGAGGCTACAGTTCTCTATGTTTATCACTGAGAAATTCTCTTTCACTGGATGTTGTGCCAAACCCTCACCATCCTTATGGCTTGTCTATCACCCTCACGAATCTGACACTCACCTATCTATTAGGGCAGGGAATCTGTTTCAGATACTACATGTCTAAAATGCAGCAAAACAAACAATTGGTGCCCATCCTGCACTTCCTGCCAATCATAAAATCTATACTATGCAGTATGCAAAACTGTTTATTCATGTTAGAAATTCTGTTTATATAAAGCACCATAGAGCAAAAAAAAAAAAAAAAGAGTACAGTCACTATGTGTTTTACTGCTTAACTATTTTACTGAAACAGGAAACTTGTCTCAGAACAAAAGAGCTTAGAGTATAAATCACAGATCCAAATCTGTAAACACTGCCATCTACTGGCTGAACACTACGGTAGTTGTTGCATAGAAATACATTCCAACAATGAATTTCAACAACTCATCACTCCCGCTTTCTTCCACCCTGTCTCTTCTCCCTCCTTACCTCATCCTGTTCTGCAGATACTGACCTTGCTGGCTGGCTGACTTCCATTTTGCACTGGGACAGAGAAAGGTTGAGTAACCAGAGGCAGCTGGGCGGCTGAGGTGGTCCTTACTGTCACCTGGGAGGCTGCCATAGGCACCAAGACTTTGCCTTGCACTTGTAGCCCTGCGGGGGGCATCACCTGCCCAGACACAAGGTGGGCTGAATTGCTGGGAGATGGCGCCTGCACAGGGGACACGGACTGGACTGTGGGGAGAAGGGGGAGGGGGAAAGAGAGAGAGAGAGAGAGAGGGGGAGAGAGAGGGAGAGAGAGGGAGGGAGAGGAAGAAGCGTATTTATTTTACTGGTTTTTTTTTTCTTTTAACACACTCCAATTTGCACTCTGGGCAGGATACCAGTGTAAAGACGTGAAACTATTTTAAAAATAAGACAGTTAAAAACAATACACCCCTCCCCCACCAAAATAAAAAAAGCTAATCCCATGATGAACACCGCAAAGCAAAAGAACTAAAAGAGCCGGCAGAACGAAGTCGTTTCACAGCCTTCAAGAGTTCAAAGCACTAAAATATTTTGCTTGGAAGTAACTCCGTGAGCAACTTTCGGTGGAGGCCGCCCAGGTCAAAGAACTCTCACTGGAACATCTGGCCCATGAACCCCCCCCCCCCATTATGTAATTGCAGCTGAAATGATGGATGAGGCTACAGTTGCATAGGCATAACCCTCAACTTACAATTTCAAGGGAATCCTTGACTTGACCACCACAATTGAGCTCAAAATTCCTGTGGCTAATAAGCAAGGTGTTTGTTAAGGGAATTCTGCCCCATTTTACAACCTTTCTTGCCACACTTAACTGCAGTGAAATTAGTAACACCGTTGTTAAGTGAATTGGGCATCCCCAATGGACTTTTGCAAAGTTGCAAAAGGGGATCGATCGCATGACCCCTGGGACACTGCAACCGTCATAAACGTGAGTCAGTTGCCAAGGGTCTGAATCCTGATCAGGTGTCCACAGGGAAGCCTGCAACGGTAGTGTGACAAACTCATAAGCCTCTTTTTTTTTTTTTAGTGCTGTTGTAACTTCAGATGTTCACTAAACAAATGCTTTACCTGTATCCCCATATCTGCTTAGCTTTATCCAACGGGGTTCCTCAAATGAGCTAACTCAGGGGTCCCCAACCACCGGTCCGCGGACCGGTACCGGTCCGCGGAACAAGTCCTACCGGGCCGCTGGTTGCTGGGGGCCGCCATCTTTTTTTGATGAAAAAGTGCTTCCGGTGAGCTTTTCCGGGTAGAAAGCTCACCGGAAGCACTTTTTCATCAAAAAAAGATGGCGGCGCCCAGCTGATGCCGGTACCAGGCCGCGGCATAAAAAAGGTTGGGGATCACTGAGCTAACTGACACCATCATCCTCTTTTAACAACCCCATAATCCCTTATGGGGTGGAGTCAGGGCAACTGAACGGAGCAAGCAGAATGTTTTTTTTTTAGTGGCTGGATGCCCTTCCCGTTGCCAATGCGGAGTTTTTGTTCAGCAGATATAATTCTCATTGTGCCCAGAGAGAGATAAATATCTGCCCCTACCTAGGATCGAACTCACAGCCTCCTGATTGCGAGGTGAGAATTCCACCTCTAGGCCACTGCACCACTCTAAATGAACTAACTTACACAACATAATTCAAAATCCAGGAGCCATTAATTTCCATGGAATTGGAAATTTGGCAGACTTGGGTTGGCTTTGTTACTGCTGCCTCGGCCTTTCATAGACTGGACCTGCCCAAGTCCTCCAAAGGGTGAGTAGACCAACCCTTCATTTGGTATCCAACTTGTTAACTAACAAGCGCCTTTATCCGCTATATCTTTATCTGCTAGAGATCAGTAAACCAGTCCTGCCTTAATCTTCTGGAGGCCAGATAGACCGGACCGGTCTAGACTGGACGTCAACAGTAGTCAAATTTACTTAAAGTTGGAAACTGCTCTGGCCCTCATTTTTGCCCTTGGTCATTCTTTTTCTCTGTGTAAATAAGGAAATATCTCTGAAACGATGGCCCAGGGGGATTGTTCTAGTCCTTAAGAAAAGTTGGCCAAGGTTTCGTTCCATGAAAAGGTCAAGAATATTCAAGGGTTGTCCAACCATGGCAACTTAACACCCGTGGACTTCAACTCCCAGAATTCCCCAGCCAGCCAAGCTGGCTGGGGAATTCTAGGAATTGAAGTCCACAAGTCTTAAGAGTTGCCAGGTTGGACACTCCTGCTTGGCTGGCTGGGGAATTTGAACTCAAGACTGAAATGTTACAGAGATTGGACCCCGGTGGTCTTAACGCTTACCTTTGGGTGCCGAGGACATGACGGTAACGCTGTTGCCGTTGCTTCCTGGGGCGGGCTGGATGATGGGGATGGCTTGTGGGGCAGCGATAACTTTTCCATTGGGGGGAGGCAGAGTGAAGTGAATGCTGGCGGCTGCAGGAGTACCTGTGGCTGCTGGAATCTTCCCCCCGGTTACCTGAAGTTGCTGAGGCAACGTAGGCAGGATGTACTGAACCTGAGTGATGCTCCCGGCCTTTCCTGCTGCGCCCGAAAAAATACCTTGCGGCTGCAGGATGCTAAGGGGCACCGGCCCGTTCTGTCCGGTGGGATTCTGAGTGATGAACTGGACAGAAGGCTGCTGGGCAATGGCCCCAGGGGGCAAAACAGTCACGGGGACGCCAGCTCCTCCGGCACCGCTGGCTTGGCTGTAACCTTGGGTTCCTACCAGGAGGTTGGTCACGACGCTTCCTTGGGCCGGGGGGCACTTCCCTACGGCAGCCAAGCCTTGGCCAAGAAGCGGCCCAGCTACTAAGTGAGGAGAGGTGGCTTGGATCCCAGCCACGGCAGAGGTCTGTGGAGTCTTTTTGTCGGCGTAGAGCAAGCCGAGTCGGCTGACAGAAATCCCTTCGGGCTTCGCACCGCCGTCGGGAGGCGGGGGGCTGACCAGCGGCAGCGGGTCCCCCGTTCCGCGTAGGAAAGGTTTGCTGGCGATAGGTACAGGAGTGCTGCTAACCGGCTTGACCACGTTGGTGACCACGGTGGATGCCATCCGGACCAAGCTGGGCGATCCGCTGTAGCCGATCACCCCCATGTTTGGGGCGCTGAGAGATGGGGCGGTCACCAGCACGGTGCCAGTGGACAAGCGGGTCGAATCCGGCAGCACCACAGTCTGCACCGCTCCACTGGGCGAAGAGATGACGGAATGGGCGGGGATAGAGGGGGGAGCCGTTCCGGCTTCAGGAGGGCCCTGGGAACTGCCCGCGCTGTCCACTCTCTTCCGCCTGTAGGGGGCAGCGGCTGGGTCAAAGCGGGCCTCCAACCGCTTGGCTGGGGGGTTGTGGGGACGGAGAGCTCCGTGCGGCTCTTGGGTCTTGAAGGGGCTGGGGGACATCTGGAAGGAACTGTAAGGTTTAGGTGGGGGCTGCTCCTCGTGACTGTGAGGGGGAGGTGGGGGCGGTGGGGGCGGCTCCAAGTCCAGAGGAGGTGGTGGGCGACATGGGGCAAAGGCGGCAGAAGAAGGAGGCAGGGCTGCTGACCGGATCACCGGGGCGAAGAGCTTCCGTCCAAAGTCCTGCAAGCAAAGGGGAACGCTCTTAAAAACAGCCCCGGGGAAAGAGCAGCCTTGAAACTGATCCAGTCCCGGTTCAAGTCTCATCAACAGCCGTGGTGGCGCAGTGGTTGGAGTGCAGTGTAGCAGGCTAATTTCTGCTGACTGCCAGCTGCTGGCAGTTCGATACTGACTGGGCTCAATTTGACTCAGCCTCCCGTCCTTCCGAGGTCGGTAAAATGAGGGCCCAGATTGCTGAGGGCCATAGGCTGGCTCTGCAAAACCGCTTAGAGAGGGCTGTAAAGCACTGTGAAGCGGCATATAAGTCAAATATAAGTGCTATTACTATCGAGATGAATTGAGACTTTCTCCAGCTTCAATCTATCAGGTGCATAAGAACGGGCACGTAAGTTAATGTAAGGTGAATGTTCCCAAACATGATATACAGGGGCTCACAAAGAACTCCCAAGTCAGAATGGTCTTTTCATGCCACTTAGTTGTGCTCCCCCCACAATTTCTGTTTTACTATTCCTACTGCTGCTGCTGGTGCTGCTACTACCGTACTACTACTACAACATTCACGTGGGGAGCATCTCCCGAGGCGCTTCCGGGTTGGAAGGATTAGCTGGCGGCATCACCATTGCCCTAGGGATACCCGAGGAGGCTCCTTTCACGTCCCTGTTATTTTCCCACCGAAGTGGATACCTATTTATCTACTTGCATTTGCGTGCTTTCAAACTGCTAGGTGGGCAGAGAGCGGGACAAATTTCTCTACTTAAAAAAGCTTTTGTGCTAACCAGCCTCTTGCTACTCACACACCTTGCTGTCAGGTTCATCCCCTAACGATCCTTCGCTATCGCTGTCCGTCACTCGTTCTTTGCACTTCAAGTCGACGTCAGGCGGATTGAACCCGTCTTCAGCTGCAGGCGGATTGAACCCGTCTTCAGCTGCAGGAGGAAAGCAACGAGTCAGCAAGATCCTGTCTCCCCCATCTCGCTTCCCCTATGAAAACTCTCCAGGAGGAGAGGCAGAGAGGGTGGCCGCCAGGAGATCGTGTTACTGCAGATACGCTGACTGCAAAAGCAAGCTCAGTACAACAGGGATTTGGGAGGGAAGCCTGAGTGTCCCAGTGCACCTATTAGAAATCTTAGAAGGGGAATTCAGCTCAGCTGAGTACTCAAAGAACTAAGGAAATGAAGTCGACAGTCAGCAAATCACTATGGCACAAGAAACCACTGTAAAGGCAGAGAAGCAAGATGGTAGGCAGAAACGCCTGGTTCCTAACTGGCCACCGCCTAGCTCTGAAACAATGCATGCAGACACCGATGGAGATTCTCAGTCATCCAGGTCATGGTTATCCCAAAGGTGTTCTTTTCAAAAGGCAAACTTTTTGATTTATTTTTTTTCTTCAACAACCAGATGACTGCAAGGAATATAAATCCACCATCTTGGATGAGAAACAAAACATCTTCAAGGAAAAAAACAACAAGAACATCACTGGAAGCTTTTAAGAAGAGGCTAGACAGCCGCTAGTCTGAAATGGTAGTGTTTCCTGCTTGAGGAAGGGGTTGGACTACAAGACCTCCAAGGTCCCTTCCAATTCTATCACTCTAAGAAAGTCTAGCTGCCTTTTGTGGCGGGGGGAGGAAACACTTTTGGGACAGGTCATTCAGATCCATCATTATCAAGATTACTGAGAATACAACCAGATCTTCTTCAAGCAGGAATTGTGGGTTCTCCCGTTCTTATTGCTTTCACACAACCTGAGCCCTGGTGCACAGCTCATTGTTTCCTGCATCTGTAAGCAAAAGATTCTTCAGGATTTCGTGGCATATAGTGACTGAACTTTGGGATTTTCTCCACAAAAAATATTTTCACTTCTGCCGAACCACTTATTTTTTCTTTTTCATAAAGGAAATAGGTACTGCCTTATATCCAATTTCTATTTCCTGTAACAGATTCCACGTAAGGGAATCTGGTTATTATGTTTTATTCCGCCAGCTGTTAAAAAGTTGCTCAAGAAAAACGTTTGAAAATCCCAGCTATTTTAAAGGAAAGTGGCTCATGCATTAGAGTCTGGAATTAAGCTTGGGTCAATATTTAACAAGATGAAAATGTTCCTCAGAGAGGATCTTGCTGCTAAAAAAAGAAGCACCTTTTAATTTCTAGTTATCGTTTGATAAATGTCAGATTATGTAGTCAAGGCAGTCCAAGATGGGCTAACATCTTCTAGCCACATGTATTTATTTCACACCTCTCACTTATCTCATCCTATGTATGTCTCTACTTGGCAGTTAAATTTTTACCTTCTATAGAGAGCAAAATTTCAGAAACCAGCTGTTCATAATACAGATAGTCCTCAACTTACAACAGTTCGTTCAATGGTCGGGCTTAGTTTTGGGGAGGAAAATAAGGGGGAGGGAGATTTTCTGCCTCTGCCTACCACCATCCATTGGTATTCTAAAGCTGCTTGGTGCTATGAAACTAAAACGGAAACGGAAACTCCTCTCCTCTGCTTGTGTTTTGCATTTGGAACAGATTTCTTTTCAGGTGGGGAGGGGGAGTAGAACTCCTTAGCATCAGAGCGTGTTAATAATAATAATACACGTAATACTAATGCTGATGGTCATTTCAAAAAATCCTTTCTTAGTGAGAAACTAAAAGCCAAGAGGAAGATTCGTGCCAAATTTCAAGTTTGTACGCTTTACAGTGCTGGAGATTTTGTACAGTTCTGGAGATTTCGTGAATGGTCTTTCGCTTTTTTATATCCATATCTATCTATATATACACATACAATCATTTTAAGAAATACACCTTAAAATAAATAAATATATATAGATATATAGATTAAATAGATAGATTAAATAGATTAAATAGATTAAATAGATAGATAGATAGATAGATGATAGATAGATAGATAGATAGATAGATAGATAGATAGATAGATAGATAGATAGATTGAAGGCATATTTCTTAAAACGATTGAAAACCTCTCTCAAAATGTCCCTGGCTTCTGTTTGTTCCTGGAAAACTCTCCTTGGCCTGCCGGAGAAAGCCATCCGACTTCTGCTGTAAAAAGTCCAGAGCCGTTCGAGCATGTGGTCCTCACCAATGACGTCATCGTCCCCTTCCTCCTCACAGATCACCATGCGTTCCTCGTCGCTGGTCATGTCTTCACTGGTTGTGCGTTGAGAACGAGAGGCACGGGAGGAATGTGGGTGCAGGGAATGGCGGGGACCCTCGCCTGGGGTTGCGAAGGGGGACCCTGAGGGGCCCAGCCCCCCATATTGACCCTTCCCGCTGGCATACGGAGACTGTCCCGAGCAAATCTGAAAGAATAAGAGAGTCAACTGTTAAAAGACATGGAGAGGCAACTTCTAATGGTCGGTGAAGACAACATTTTGGGGGGGAGGTTTTTTTTTGCACTGGGCACACCGATTTGCCAAGCCCTGTAAAGAGTTTCCAATTCGTTTCCAGGTACAATTCAAGTTCTTGGTCATGGCTTGGCACCTGAGGCCCTTCAAGACTAGTTGCTCCGACCAGAACTGGCTGAAGGCACTCCAAGGAACCGAAAAAGTGCCCTTGAGCAAATGACCTTAAGGAGTTAGAAGCTCCACCTTTCCAAGAAGTTTTTTGTATTGTCTAGTGTACTGACTTCATGCTGCGCTCTGCCATTTCAGGTTACGTGTATGTGTTTGAGAATGAGTGGGGGGTGGGGGGAATGAAGGAGAGAGGCCACAATGGGTGACCACAGAGGGATATAAATTAAATCGTGATGGACAACCTGACATTCCAAGATAGCCTGCATCCCTGAATCTTCAGAAAACTCTCCAATCATGTTAGGTTTAATCAATGAGAAGCCTAGGCCGGTCTATAATATCTAGGAAATAAATCTCAACTTCACATGTATGTATAGTGTAGCTCCACTTTCTTTGTGTCATTGTTCCACCGTCGATCTCACAACTTCCAAAAACTTATGAGACTTTGCTGTGGCCACCAAATATTTTCCCACCTTGGACATAAGAGAAGTCACAGTGTTTGCAAACAGCAACATTACCCTCAGTGGCGTCCTGAATTCTTAGGGCAAGCACAACCCAACCACCCCATAAGCTTCTTCGATTCCCACTGCCCTGTGGTTCCTTGTGAAGACGTATTACCTGTGTAAGCTCTTGCAACACCTGGTTGTCCCGGTCACTGTCCATGCCATGCACACCGCTGTGGGAAAAGGCCCGTGGACGCTGGGCATCAGACGCTGAGGGCAGGATTCGCTCCCCGTGGCAATGCCCAGATCCCATGACACCTGCCTTGACGTCTGGGCCCAACAGCATTTCAGAAGCAACTGATGGGGGGGGGGGGGGAGGGAGAGGGGGGGAAAGTAAGAAAAGTCCAGAGGAGCCCCACCAGGGAACAGCTGGTGGCATATATATAGCTCACCTCCAGGTAAAATAGCAGTACCTGTCTCTGACATGCTACGTTCACGCATCTCCTTGGGGCAACCCCCTGGCCCAGCAGATTTTATATCCGAACTAGACTTCTTCCGATCTTTGTTACACCACTTCCAGTCGGGGTGTGCTTTAAAATGGGCTTCTTTCACCTTGGGGGTGGGGTTGGGGAGAAGATGAGAGAAGAAAACAATGAGGAGCGAGAGGAAGATGGGAGAGAATGAGAGAGACTGCAAGCAGAGAGATTCCAGATGTTGAGGGCTAAGCTGGAACCAGTCATTGCTCCAGCTGCAAAGATTCCACACTGTGGAAGATTCTCAACCGTTGTGAAACCACAATCTCTGTACATCCGTATCTGCATAATTCCCATCAATCTGCACAGCTTCACCCAGTTTGAAGCCAGTTTCCTATCTAAATCTTTCTTAAGACAATGAAAGCCTGCTGGCCAACGTCGGAGATATTCTCTGGCCAATTCTGAGATTTCACTTAAGTTTCATCTACACTCTCATCTCGTGGTTGCCCTCGGAGATAAAAAACTCATCTTTTAAAATGGCACAAAAGACAGGATTTTCTGGGAACTGAAATGCCCATACTGGATGATTCATTCATTCTGAGCTGTCATCAAATTTCCTCCCTTACTTGGAAACAGGCTGTAGTCACACTACTCAGAGGCAGAATACTGGACAACGCTGACCCTTAATTATGCCAGCCGTGCCAGCTGAGCTAGTAAGGCAGTGGCACGCCCTGAACAGAGCTCGGACCTTTGATCTCCCCTTTCTGACCAAGGCTCTGTAGGAGGCTGTACCTGGAAGGCCAAGTCGTGGTACTTCTGCTTCTCCTTGGGCCCCAGAGCGTACCACCACTCGCCCAGGATCTTGCTGACGGTGCGGTTGTCTTGGTTGGGGTGCCGCTGGTGCACCAGGGCCCGGTGTCGCTTACTGAAGATCATGAAAGCATTCATGGGCCGCCGAATGTGATCCTTTTCTCTCTACCAAAAAAAGAAGAGAGGAGGGAATGTAGGGAAAAAAAAGCCACAGTTACGTTACCCCAAGGCAGACAAAATGAATTTGGGTAGAACGTTTTCGCAAGTAAAAGCAAAGGGTGACCGAAGACTCTTTCCACCACTACCCCCTGGAATACTCCCTACAAAGCAGGTGGGTTAAAGAGATGGAAAGGGGAAGGAAAAGAAGAAAGCCCCTCCCCCACCCACCTTGTTTGGACTGCGACCATCCTTCTCGGAAGAGGAATCACGCTCTTTCGGCAGTGCGCTCAGGGACTGGGTGCGCCGTTTGCCTGGCAGTAGCGGGATCGAGATCTCAGAAGATGAAATGGATAGGAACCTAGGTAGGAAAACGTCAGGTGAAGGCCCAAAGGCAGCACACCCATTTTCAGCCACCTATCCCAGAGACCTCCCAGCAGTCTTCAACACTTCTGGGCACCACATCCTTCCCTTCCCTTCCCTCCCCTCCCTCCCACAAACACACAGAGGAAGGGGGAGGGGTCAATCTCTCTGTGGCAACCGGCATCTGGGGTTTTTTTTTAACCACACCCTCCATTCACTCCTGCTTCTATTTCCCTCTGGGTTCCTTCCCAAGGTTTCCTCTCCCGGCTGCTGCTCAATTTCATTCCCTCAAGGGGTTTCCTCCAGCTGCACGTCCAATTCCCACTATGCTTCAAAGCACAGCCAGCAAGCCCTCCCGGAATCCGGTGGCAAAGGATCACAGTGCAAAACACGAACCGGGCAAAAAGGCTGCCCAAATCGAACAGGAGGAAGTGCAGCTACAAAGGGTTGGTCGTCCGAGCGGCCTAAGGAGAGATAGAACAACCCCAAAACCGGGGTACTCACGCATCGTCATGGTCGCTCTCCGTCTCGCTGTCCAGGCGCGGGTGCAATGGGAGGTCATCCTCGTGCTGAGACGGAACTCCGCTTCCTGCTGGAATCCCCGTAGGAGGTTGGGCAACTGGAGTGGGACTGTCAGGGTGCGAGGGGGTCGGCCTCCCTGCACTCTCGGCCTCTGAAGAGAACCCGGGGAGTTCGTGGGCCACCGCAGCCGATTCGGGGGGTTCTGATAACATCAAAGGCCAAGGATGGAATGGGGGGGGGCTGTTTCCACAGGGTTAGGGGTATCGCAAACTTGCCTTACTGGTTTGTGCAAAGGCCTCCCTTCGCTCCCAGAGAGTCTCTCCAGCTGACGGTTCTCCTACCCAGAGACTTTAGCGGGAAATCTGTGCGTGCGCTTTCTTTTTTCTTCCCCCCCCCCCCTTGGCCCACCTTACCTTTGTTCTGATTGGATGTGGACGGATGACTGACAGGCTGCTGGCCTTCACTGGGCTGCACGGAGGAATCTGGTTGGCTGGGAGCCAGGAAGGGCACTAGTGAGTGCCATGGGAACACGGCCACAGATCGAGGCTCCACATTTGTCCACACTGGAAGGAGGTGGGGAGGGGGGGG